ATAGTCCTCGTGTAGCTTTGCGCGAAATTCAAAACTAACTAACTAATCTATAAACAACGACGACGACAACAGCCATCATGTCCTACCTCGTTTGGAGTCTCTTGTTGAAACGGCAAGGGTAATAATTATAATTTCGTATGATTAATTAATTAAAATCCATTCAAATTTACTGTGTTTCAAGGTCACGTTCTCCGGTGGGTCAGCGAGAACTTTATGGCCTTACAACGCTGAAATCCGCGGTTCTATCCCCCACGGTGGATAGAGAGCCCGTTGTGTATCTTTGCGCTAAACAACAACAACACAATTGTCCTACACTTTTTAAAGCACAAGTTTTATGTTAGTCGCGCCATCTATATTTAAACTTAATTTGCTCCAACGATTTCAAAGCCAGTAGGCCCAATTAACCATGGTTAAATTAACAAACTTATGCCCCACCAGTGGCTGCTTACTAAACTTGGCATCTGAGAAAAAGTAAATTTACAAAAAAAAAACGGAGGGAAAGAACTTTGAGGTTCTTCACATAATGTCTTATTATCAGAGCATAAAAAGAACACTGAAAATGTAATTTATATTTCTATGTAGTTAATACAATTGTAATGATACCTTCGTGACGTTATGTACATTCTGTCATTTGTTCTACAGAATTCGCTTCATTAATATATATATATGTGTGTGTGGCTTCCAACCAACTAAATATATTACAACATACAATATTTTGAACCTGGTATATGTGTCTTTCTTTACTCCACGATGGCCAGTTCGTCTTTAGTTTCAACATATCCGTACTTATAATATTCAAAAGTTTAAACTTTGTGTGAAATGTAATATTGAGAAAATAATAATTAGGAATAAAAAAAACCGATCGTAATACCAGCTAAAAATGAAACTCAAATGGATACTATTACTTTAGATTCAACAAAATGCGCTCAAATGAGTTAATTGTTTTACATAGTTTTAATTGATGGTGAAAATTCAGTTATAATTTTATTTTTTGATTTTTTTTCATTTCCAAAACGTACAGCGAAAAAGAACAAAAGAAAAATGAGTTCACTGTTGCCTATAGTTAGTTTACAAGGTGGTCCAACGTGTTCTATGTGCAGAAGCTCACGACAGAGGGCAGTGGTTGAGAAGATCAATTTCACCGCGCCAAAGACGACATAACTTCAACTAACAGTTCTTAATTGTTATTCTTTAGACTTATCCCTGGGGGATTTCCTGTCAGTATTGACACTGGAATCTACTCCGTGAGTTTACATCAGGAGGAGATCACCAAGGAGCTAATTAGGAAATGGTTTTTCGTGAGAATGGAAAGTTCCAGAAACTGTGACTTTCGGGCAGATATTTTTTTTTTTGTTTGCAAATTTACATTGCCATCCGCCAACTAAGTAATTAAAAACTTGGTACAAATAACTAAAGTAGTTAGATACTTACTAACGGGGGCTCTATGGAAATGTTCTGTATTACGTCATACCATTTGCACGGACATGTCGACTATCGGGTCTGATGGTGCCAGCCGTGTAAGTAGGTAATCTTGGGAAGAAGTTGCTACTTCTTCCCAAGATTACCTACTTACACTACTACTTCTTCCCAAGATTACCTACTTACACTACTACTACTTCCCAAGATTACCTACTTACACTACTACAACTTCTTCCCAAGATTACCTACTTACACTACTACTACTTC